TAGGCAACAGCAAAGATTATTGGCTGTTATCTGCTTTCCTCCATAGTGTTCGCGGGGATTTAAACATCCATAAAGCGGCTTAGCTGCAGACCGTACGCGATGAATGAAATTTCATATCGATAAAGGCTATATCGATCTATATCGTTATCGACGGATAGAAAATTATGTTTTTCGCCGTCCCCTGATAATTCCGTTTGCGTTTATATAACGCTAACCTCGATGCGCGTCGTGATTTTCGATAGTGCCTCTGGCTAAAATTGGAAAACGTTTATTTCTTTTTTGAAAATGAGTAAACAACGCGAAGAACGCTACCCGATAAACCAGGAGCCGCGTCCGTCCCAGTTCTGTTCAAGTTCCGCGCTTCATTTCGTACCTATGTCACGTGATGGAAGACAATTACGATAGTGCAACAACAGAACGAGGATTCGCATCGAATCCAGTGATAAATTCAGTAGCTATACCATGTATTATTGATCATCCAGTTAGCATTGTACTGTTATATTAAATCGTGACCGAGCAAAGATAAATCACTTGGATGTTTGTTTAAATCATTTTCAAAGCGTTGAAAAATCCATTTTATTAATTACTTATTTGTTTCGCAGCGAGTTGCATATATTTTGATACGCGATTGATCGAGACACCAATTACATATTAATATTTAATGTATTGTACAACAGAAGTGAATGAAAGCTTGTAACAAATATATTCTGCATGGGTTTCTCGTTACTTATTCAAATGTATCATGCGAATCGTGGAATATTCAAGTAGAGATAACACAAGTGCAAGAAGTTAAACCAACGTAACGGTGCAACATCCGACAACACGCCAAGTGTTACATTACATACAAACGTGTAACGTACAAATTGGTCTAGCTAAGCAATTTTTAAACGTTGAGGACGGAGCATAGAATGTTTGTTAGATTCTGCCGCGTTCAAGTTATTCGTTTTGCAGCATGAATCGGCCAAAACGATGTTCCTCGAGCAACTTAATCGTATTCTGGATTAAAAGCAAAAAATCACTGGGTAAAGAGTTGACGAGAACCAGGAAGAGCGTCTACGAATCAGAATACTGCATTACGAAATTTCATAAATTCTCTTTATGATGGCTCTTAGACGCTTCGCGCTTCGTCAGGATCTGTGTTTTTCACTTGAAATAATAATGACTCGAGCGAACATAAATTCTCACGACTGCCTATCTACTCCGCGCGTCTGTTACGATTGGAAAATAACATCGTACTCGAACGAATATTACCCAACCTTCAATTATTATTACATTTCATCGAACAACACCGAAAAAACTTTTCCCAATTAACGATCGACGTGAAACAAACAAAATTCTATCCACTATTCTTACTTCAATGCGTTTGTTGTTGTTTTTTCTACAAGTGCAGGTTCATGGTACTCCGATGTAAGAAAGGTACAGGTGTTAGCTGGTACAGATTATACTGTTATACGGTACAGCAATAAAAACTGGGAATATCCAGATTGAAGGTGGAAAGCACGTCCAAGCGATGTTTAGAATGGTTCAAACGAATCTGTTGAATAATAGAGTATGGTAGACAGTTACTGTAAGGGAGCAAGTGTCTCCGATTATAACAAAAGTGAAGGGGCGAAGCTTGGCTCATTTGTTATTAACCAGCGCAGTGGAGCGTCCAAGTGCAGAAAGACTTGGAACACGACTTCACACTTTGACTCGCAACCCTTGGTAAATTTAGTTAATTATCAGTTGAAACTTCTACGACGAACTTGGTCTATTCTGTCCTTCCATTTGTCCAATGCTTCTTTTTCTTTTAAAACAAGTATCTCGCTTCAATTATTTTTACCAACACTTTATTTTATCGGCACTTAACTCTGACACATGTGTGTTAACAGTATAATGGTTTCAGTATGAATAACTTGTAATTAATTCGCTAGACAGAACAAAGAAATTTTCTTCCGCGATTAATGTATGTACATTTCAACGAGGGATTGCTAAACTCGTCGGTTGGCGGAACAACACTCTGCGTATATTGTAATATATGCTATTCTCACCTTACGTATATGTATACATTTAAATATTTTAGAAACGAAAAGGTCGGGTAGGCTATTATTTTGTCTCGCACTGTATGTATCGTATAATTCGCCGAAGCGGAGTTTTGCGGTTGATTTACAATCGGTCGAACGCAGCTTTCCTGATAATCAAACGGGAGGTTCCGATTGGATTTGTACGAATGCGCGCACGCCTGTGTCCCTATATCGGACAGTGCACCGCGTGCATGCACCATGCACCGGTTACGCCGAATCGAGGATACCAAGGAAAATCAATTAGCCGGGCAAACTGTTTCGACTGCGGCTGTTTGCCCGCGCTGGAGCCGCCAATGTATTTCGTCTCGAAGCTCGGCTACGTGTCCCTGCATGCCGCGCATGCTGCGTGTGCAATGTGCATACACCACCCTTTCTATTTGCAACCGATGCACTGCGCGCTACGCGACGCTACCCTCTCGCATACACCGACTCCAACCCTTGTGATACCGACGCGACGTTTCCGTGAATTTACCTGATTACATACCCGAATACGCAGAACGAGAATTCGAAATTGTTCGGGAAATTGAAATGCTCGCTTGTAATAACGTAGCTAAAGCGAACCGCGAAGGAATGTTGCAAGGCTGTAAACGCAGTTGCGATGGAGAGAAACGTACCAAACCATTTCGTACGTTACCGATTCTAAAATAACCGGAAATATTCGAGTAATTTACATTCAACACTTTGTACCTGTTAGTATTATACATGGCAACAACGGTAAGAAGCCACTACTCGATAATAAACGTTCTTCCGATCTCGATAAATACGTGCGAGTTTGATATCGTCGTTGAAGCATACTCTCGTGTACGTCGTAAACAATTAGACCGAGTTGGATAGACTCGTACTTTTGACCGATGGTGTATAGCCGTTAGGAAAAGTATAGAAAAGTCGCAAATTGAGCAAAGTATGAACAAGTTTGGACATAAGTGGACAGGAAAGAAAATAAATAATTCAAAGAGCAAGGGTAGCGTTTCTTTTTTTCCTTGCTGTTTCGTTCCCTTTCTGTTTCAGTCGGCGACGCGACGCGACATACTGCGAGTACTATCGCATACTGCTTGCGCTACTGTGCAACAACTAAAACGATGATTTGAAATTTCACACCGTTTCGATGTATTTCCCAAAGTATTTGCTCTATACTATACCATTCTATGAGACGATTTAAGGATTCTGCCATCCGAAATATATTTGGAATACGATATCTTATCCAAAAATTCGATTCACAAATTACGCAGGACATTTAAAAAAAAGTATCCACGTGGATTTCATCGATTTACAACAATGGCAAATTCGCAGATACGTATTGTGTACGCGTCTTCGATGTTACCAAGCTTTGTATTTACACTCGATGCACTGTGTACATACAGCTTGGTACAAACCACACACGATAACGCGTTTCACGCACGTGCACTACGTGCATAGAAGCGTTGATTGCTGTCATATATATGTACCTGCGAAACCCATAGATGCAAATAGACGCGGATCCACATGCAGCTATGTACTCTGCGTGGACGTAGAGTCATATCGACGCGTTGCGTCGTTGAAAATTGACGAAACAATATCTTTATTGCTGCGATTGCAAATGTATGTGCGCGTGTATGCATGTAGATCCATCGATCTGATGTCCATACATAGTATTTTGAATAATTAGCGAGTTGCAATTTCGGATTTCACTCGTGGATGTATAAAACAATGTTTCGAATATAAGCTATGAAATAACGAAGCAAGTACACCCATACGATAGCAGAGTACTGTACAAATCACCATTCTCCGATCGCAACTTATATTCAAAGTTTCTTTTAAACAAGATTTAACGTAAAGTTCAACTATAAACGATTAGATTCACGCATTAAATTAGTACAAACATTTACAAGTTAAAGTGAAACTAATGTATCGATGGCAACTGCGACTGGAACAATGACACGATCATTGTCATCGGTAGCGATCGAACTCAGTTATTGGCCGACTCTCTAATGAGAACGATATCAAATTACCTAGTTCTGCGCAAATCCTAAAATGACTCGATTAATTTGTGACGTCGGCGTCGCGACGCCGGAGTGGCCCGATTCTGTCAATCTTAGCGGTACACTTTTAAATATACATATCACGCGATTGCTAAGAATAAAATATACAGTCTAAATGAATATTAAGTAATATTGACAGATAAACTCCACCGATGTGCAGAGATTTCTACCCGATAGTAAATATTTTCGTTCGTTTCTACGGAAACTTAAATAACAAAGATAAATAGGCTAATATCTAATCACTCTCACTTTTTCATTTTTTCGATCATTACGATTTATAGACGTATCGCGTGATTCGATCCTACATTGTCGTGCTTTTTGCGCACACGATCAATTTATTTATACGAATAAAAATTGATTAGAAATCGATCAAGGTAGTAAATATTTTTGAGCCAAACGTTAAAGTCCAAACGTGAATTTATTTATACGTTGAATTTATTCATTCAACGTTTCGTTATTATGAACAAATATATTTATTACTGCGATCAATTATTTTTTCAGCGATACTTTTAATGGAACGGATTAGAATTAAAGTTCAAGTTGTAGTTGAAATAAATGTTAAGTTGCCATCAGCATCGAAGCGAAATTTGAAATGTCGTTCAACTCTCGGTACTAGGTGTCGAGTGCTTAAAAGTCAAATCGAGAATGGAAAGTGGTAAAATTTTCTCAACGTCACGCTTTAACCTCGATAGTCCGTCTAGACTACGTGCCATCAATATCAATTACTCGCGGAACAACCCCGTGCACTTTTATCATAGACTTTCCACCTCCGAATTACACGATAAAGATGAACTTTGAGTATAAAAGAAAACTATGTGTATCCAAACAAGAAAAAGATTAAAACGTGAAATCGGACAATTTTCATCTTTAATATTAGTTTAAACATTTAAACATTGAATGTCTTTGTTTTGTTTTGCAGAGTCGTATATTGGAAGATGCCTCCATTATGTGCAACTCCTGGTCACCAAGGCATAACGTGAGTACCGAACGATATTGTTACTCTTCTTTCTATGTTTAAGACAGACATTGAAAACGATCAAGAGGTAGACGAAAAATGTTAGTCGTTTAACTGTAGATGAATGTTTGAAAAACAACGTATGTATGCCGGTTGATCGTTGTTGTTCACTTTTTGTTTCGCGGGATTAATCGATTTGCCAACCAAGCGGCTCGTTTATCGAATGGTAATTTACAGTAGGATGTCTCATTTCGCAGTTGGTGTCATTAATACACCGGTGAGTACGTTATCGAATGATCAGCATTAATTATTAACGAACAATATCGAATAAACCGGCGGCGACAAGTTACGCGTGACGGCAGACACCGGCAGTCAACCTCTTGCAGGAAAATATCGAGCGCAATGTAAATTTGGATCGACGGTAAGATTCAGTCGCGTCTGTGTCACAAGAGAAACTGAATTTGATCATGGGGGAACGGCACCGAGAAATATATGTATACTCCTTACTAGACAGCAGGTACTCCGCCATGCAAGTGATAATTCGAACAGTCTGCTCGATTTCGTGTCAGACGTCAGATTTTCTGGAAGAATTTATTTATTTATTCATGCGTCAGACTACTTCGCGATGTAGGTTATCGGACGGAAATAACATAATTGTCCCAATTTGCCATATCCGTTGGCCATCTGTCCGAGAGCGCTCTGCATTTAGACTCGAGTAACCGTCGATTTAATCGCGAAATCGTTTCATAAGCGAATAATATTTTCGATCTTTTACATCGAATAATTTATATTTAAACCAGTACATTCGCAACAAGTAGATTTAATGATATGTAACGATAGTAACAATTTCTTTTGCGATTATTATTTCCTATTCTTCCACGTTCCATTTCTTATCGTTTTTATTTCAAATCGTCGCGTCAGCTTGTTGGTTGCTTACGCTTACGTGTAACGTCACGAATGCGTACGTTGTATTCAAGTGCGTCAAGTTGGGCTCCGTTCACAGTAACATTCGGGTTTCTCTATTTTATTGTATTTATGCACTTTATTTCATTCTGCTATATGCGGCTTACTATTTTTCTTTTCCAATACGAAACATTCTGCATAATATTGTACATATGTATATAAAAACAAATAGAATAAAAATCTCTTTCTTGTTCCATGGACAAAACAAACATTATTTTTCGTTCGATGCTTGAATCAGTTCTAAAGATATGCCATAATCACTTTCGGAGGGGAAAATTACTGCTTCGAGACAAAGTTAACCGTAACATGCGCTACATTACGAGCTTAATCATCCCCGTTTTCTCGCGAATCAGCTTGAGCAGATAAATTACACGGGTGGCTTGTAGGGCGCGATAATTCAATTGTAATTGGCTAATCTTTAACGTGCCCGAGCTGGAAGACGTATTTAACGGGTGGGTCGGCTGCTGGCAGCTCGGAAAAATGACTCTATTAACCAGGAGGACGTACCGAACCAACCTCGAAGGGAGACTCTGTAGAAACTTTGCTAAACAACTGCACGAGGTGCTAACTACACAGCTAACAAGACCAATCTGTATCCGTTGTCCAACATTCCCGTCGCTTTTCTTATCTCTGACCTTTCCCCATGGAACAATGTTCTACGAAAACCAATCGATTGGCATGTTTTACTTCTATACCGATATTTTACAAATAAAAATTGCATATTAATATTTATCTGATATTTCCGATAATACGATGCTTGTATATACTTGTTAAATTTTTATCCCGATTAGTATCCATGTCTGACTAAAACTGATCGGCTAGTACTAGACAACAACTAGAACTGATCATATATGTAATAAAAGGAAAAAATAATTGCTAAACCGGCAATTTCACGGCACGAACGACGGACAACACACAGAGGAACTTGAGAGTTAGAAAAAGTAGCGCTAGTTCAGCAACCTACAATGAGACAGTAGACGGTACAGAGTACATACACGTACTCGACGAAGACCCGAGGAGTTCATAAATAATCGAAGCGCTGAAGTACGACGGTGGTTTTCACATGAAACATTGATCGACCGATGCGGACATTACAGTTTACAATGAAATAACTGGATAGCGAATCGCTTTTAACCCGACTTAACGCAACAAAACTATCGATATTGTCATACGCACCGCGAACATTCATAAATATACATTTTTAATACTTTCTAAAACTAGAAAAATGGATTTTCTACCGGGTAATTTCCTTCTACGTTTACTTTAGAATTTATCCGAATGTTAGTTCGGATACTTGGACGCATACCTTAGACGCGTGCGTTCATTTACATATAACGATATACCAATGTTGATTCATTCACGGATCAGTATTAGACACAGATTTATATTGACAACGAATAAATAATAACGATATACGCGAGACAATATTCACTGTGATATAAATTAACGGTGTTTTGAAAACATTTAAAGTCTAACAGACACTGTTTTCCATTATTGAGTTGAAAACGATTCGGTACTGTGGATTGATTGCATACAATTTTGATGGAACTCCGAGGTGCACAGAATTCCTGTTAAATTGTTTTGACAATGAATCGACCTCTATCGATATTTAATAAAGCAAAGAAAATAAAATAAATCGATAACTCTATTTCAAGACATTTCAACTTTGTAGTCCGCCAGAACAAAAAAAAAAAAAAAAAACAACAACAACTGGTAGAAACATCTGGAGGTCTCAAATTTAACCGCATATGAAAAGCGACTCACTCTAAACATAGACAGGAAATATCAGACCCTTTTGCTCGTCTAGTTTTAGTAACACATCGACCCCAAAATTATCTGTCTGGCAACCCCTGAGACATTTAACAAGCAAACGAATTTGATTAGCGAACCTTGTTGGTCACGCGTAGCCACCTTTCAAATAACATTAATTCAGCTGACCAGGTCGTAATTGTGCATCTAATCTGTCACGTCTGATCCTATCTCGTCTACGTTATACGTGAATTGTTTATAATCGTCAACATGGCGTTAAATATTATACAAGTAGAATAACAACATTACAATCGTTCGCATGTATAATTTGCTTGTCAATACTCGCTTTAAAGTTAAATAATCTGTATTTTAATAATTAACGAAGTTTAAACTTTGGCTTCATATGAAATTCATTCGTTACCAAAACCGATCATATTCTGGAAATTAGATTATACGAAATTCACTATTTGCCGTAATTTACGATTTTTTAACGCGATACAAAGGAAGAAACGAATATTACTAACATCGCTACAATTTACTCTAAACGCGCATCGATAAAATAAATCGTTGGTGAAATTGTTGATAATACCGAGAAAATTCCGTTTGGTTCAGATTTGAATTTGATTCAAGTTTGGCGTGACTGAAAGTCTGGGAAAAGCTAAATTCAAGTTTCCAGTGTCAAAACTATTTTTAGAGTATCGATCGTACGGCCATGTTGAGTACGCGGAGTGACCTCTGACCGGGTACTTTGGTACAATTTAATCGCGTACTTTTTTACCTACCTACAACGATATTGGCACGATTTTTCGCCGAATATTATTTTCATACGTTCCGCTGATAATAACGGTGTTGTTCGACTATGACTATGCGAAAAGTCTCTAGTCTAAAATAAATGCCTCGAGTCTATCCTGATTTTTTAGAGAGCCTGCTGACAATGATTCAGAAACGTGTCATGTTTAACGCTGCGTTTTCTTCGCTATACCATCGAATTCGGCACCCTCTTAAATCGAGAACCGTGCAGTTTGAACGGTATCTGCAACGTTACAAGATCTGTCTGATGCGATTTAAATTCGTTTAAAAAGACGAAAGGCTTTTTCGGGAACTTCTTTACCTCTACGCATGATCCGTGATTCTTCAATCAGTGTCACGCGTTGCTTTTAACGTTTCAGGGTGACTTATTCGGGGGCTTGAACAGCGGTCTACAAGACGGCTTACTTTCGAGGGCAGAGGCTTTGGCTGCGGATTTAGGAAAACACAACGCGGGCACCCCAATGCCTTTGAAGCACGACCCTGTTTCCGTCTATCATCATGGAGCCCATATGCCAACCCCCCATCCAAATAACCGGCCGCATCATCAGGTACATTCACACCTCTTTGTGAGTTTGCTTTTTTGACATATTATACTCGTACGAATATCTCTTACGAATAAGTTCTTACCGATGTTATACTCGTATGTTATACATGTATGTACGTACATATCATAGAAACAGTCGTTGTCATCATTTCGATGATAGAAGAACATTTCTTACTCCAGGCGAAATTTAGGCATGCCAAATAAACGATTTAGTTTTGATCGCCAAGCTGACTTTTTGTCACATTCGCTCTTTAATTTTACTAATTCATCGTGTTATCAACAGTAAAAGATTACCGATCAAATAATCATTGTAATAAAGTGCATCGGCGAACAGGTAGCGGTATTCCATAAAATCCGTGTACTCGAATATCAGAATAAAATGCAACGAGTTCCAACGGTGGATAAAATCAATGAAAATAATTCATTAGGCGTAGCAATTAATCAGAATTTATAATTAATTTCTCGATTAAATACTTTAGTATTACCGATTCTTCATTAACATCGTTAACGATACGAGCTACAATTTTCATATTCGCACTTTAATCATTAATACTTTTGATACTCTCACACACGTACGCAGGCAATTTTATACACTTCAATACGAAAATTTAATGCCAGATTTGATCGGCAACGAATCAATCTACAAAGCTCGCTTGTAAAGCTGTACTTGGAAGTACAGTGTAGTTTAAAAAAGAAACAATTATAAAAACAAGAAGGATCGTTTGAAATAGAATTAACCGGGAATAAGTAGACAAGTTATGACTGCGCCCAAATTCAATTACAATTTGCTGCTTGTCGTTTCGGGGTTCTATGCTAATACAAGCAATCTGAAGCTGATGAGTGGAGGATAGTATGACAGTAGGGTGAAGTAACCAATGTGCAGCGACCCGGAATGATCTTCTCGAGCGTAGGGGCGTTGCTCGTATATTATCTCGCCATAGGGACGATTCGCAACACACTAGGCGGAACGATATCAATTTCGATGGAATTTTTTTTTCCATAGTACCAGCTCCAATATTGATTTAAAACAAAAAAAAAAGAGAGAAAAAACGACAATTTATAGGTTTTTTCATAGGAAAATGTACGATTTTGATTGATACGGTATTTCGAGGGATCTCGATGCGTGTAAATGCGGTGTATGAGTGTGGGTGAACTTTAAATTCGAATTGTATTTGTTGTTATATTAAAGTTTTTCTATGGCTACATTATCCGTATTAACGCGGGCTAAATATAAAAGGAAAAGGCAGAAAGAAAGAAAAGTTTGGTCGATCGATGCGTAAATTGATCGACTGATCAGTCGCGAGTCTATCCGTTGAATATCAAGTGGATGTATAGATCGCAATACTGGCTTCCCGCAGTGCGGTGGCGAGAACACCCTCTTTTCGGTCGCAGCTTGCCGTCTCTCTCTTTCGCGTGAATCGGCCGTACAGATGGTCAAACATCAAGTGTCCCGTAAAGTCTGTTTTTATACGCGAGGTTGACGAATTCAATAACGGCAATGTCGTACCGACCCGCCTAACGCGCAACGTATTACGTTCACGAACTCATGTAACGAGTTTTGTATCATTGGCACAAACGGCAGGGCCAAAGATGAGAAGAAGGGCGAGGAATCGTGACGAGTGATGGACCGTGCGAGAGAGGAAGAGCGATAGAGAGCGATAGAGGTAGGAGGGAGACTCGACTAACCCTACCGTCATGTCAGCGTAATGATGAAATATTGCAGGGGTCTCTGGGGCCCGTGCCGTATACACCCCTGGTCTAGTCCCTCGTTCACTCCATATTCGCCACCATCCTCTTCCAACCTCGATCCTTCTTTCTCTTTCGTACTAGTGTGCCACCACCCGCAACCCCTTGCATTCCTGATGTAACTATGCTATGCCGTAGCACCCCCGGAACGTAACCATGCCATCCAGTTAGCTCGTTGTACGGCATACTCCCGTGAGAATAAATGTTGCGTACACCAACGTAATCATACGCATACGCATACGCATACGCATACGCATACGCATACGCATAC